GAGCGGGCCAATCACATGCGCCAACTTGCCTGCGCTCTCACATTTCCCAGCCATAGTGAAATTTATTCAAGTGCGTAGTCACTTTGATATGCTTCTGCTAAAAATAGGCGAGGGGTGCAACGTACCTCTGGAGGTGGGAGCAGCCCCCCGTGCTGCAATGGCTACTACAGTACCATCGTACTGTGAAGAGCGCAAATGCACGGCACCTACATGTTAAACAGAGCCACCTAGTGTTCAAAACAGAAATTGCACAGGATACTGTTAAGTTTATAAAAACAGCACCACAAGGTCAAAATAGTGCTTACTGTTCCAAATGGGAAGTAGCAGAATGTCTGAGGAAACTGATGAGGTCTCAAACCCTTTGCAGTGGATTTTTATTTGAAAAAGATATCGAAATGAGTAAAATAACATGGATTGTATAAATATCTGTGCAATCAAAATGAGCACAGAGGCACTTGACTGCCTTCTGCTGCCATGATACACCAAACTATCCAGCTTTATGCCCAGCTACAAACCTCACAATAATATTTTTTCCCTAATTTGTCAGTTAATTTAGGCTGTATGATCTAATTTAAAACAATAAAAAAAAGTCAGTTACAAAAGCATAACATGTAGCTTGGGTAGTAAGAGCATTAACATGTCAATTCATTTGCAGTTCAGCATAAACTGTCATTTTTGTTTATGTGCTGCCATAAGAACTCAGCAGTCAGTGAAAGAGTTAACATGCACAGTAAATCAAATCTGAGGAAAAGGAAACGAATCAGCCATTCACACAAGTGATCAGGTAAGAACAGTGCTAATACAGTTAACACAAAAGGAGAGGGCGGGAATGCAACCTGACAATCACTGTATGACATTTTTCTGTAGTACTTTGGCCCAAACTCTCCCATGGCACAATTCACTGGACACAATCCGTTGCAGCAGGAGAAGAGAACAATCAGTACTTATGTTACAGTGCTCTTAAGTGCTTTTGATGCTTGTTATTGAATAATACACACTTAGTAAGAAGAGGAGCATCAGTTTGTTTTTACATTACCTCATGAAGTACACTGGCAGATGGATAAGGAGGGCTACCCCAATTTTATGCTTGTAATTTTCACCCTTACCTTAAATATAGGAGTCACTAGTCGCCAGATGTTGTGTGTCTGCAGCTGGAGCACTGCATGTAGTCAATGAGAAACTTGTGACTACTGCTGAAGTGAGAGTAAAATATGCACAAGTGTAATGTGGACTATGAAAAAGCAACAATGATAAACCTCTACAAAAATCCACCTCACTGCCCAAATCAGCTGAAGGAATATGTATGGAGTAAAGACCACAAGCTGCAATGTTATCTGTGATTATTCTTATTATCAAAGCACGTCATCAGGTGAAAAAGAAATAAATACATATATAACAATATGGTAACACTGAAGGTTGGTGGTGGCCTCTGGGGTTAGACGCCCAGCTTGTTGGCGATGGTCATGACCACTTTGAGGATGGGCATGAAGGCGGAGATCTCACTGAAGTTGCTGCTGACAACTACCTGCGTGTGGACCTCCAGACCCCGCTGGTAGTTCTGGCTCGCCACACAGCGGCTGATCTCATGAAGCCCATTCAGGATATTGTGAGAAAGCTGTAAGATTCAGAAGAGAAACATTATACTGTGTGTTACAAACTTGAAAAATCATGACACTATCTGTTAATGGAACTGAGCCTTTGTTGATGTGATCTGTTCCACCAGTGGTTTTCTAGGTATGAAAAGATCTGCTGGTAATTAGCAAACTAACTACAGCCTGGTGTCTGATCAGCACGTGACTGGTTGGGCTGTTTACTGGTTCCAACTGATGGTTGAAACTGTCACCGTATACCACTTAATTAGAAAGAATGGAGCACACCTTTCTTTCTTACTGAGGACAACAGGAGTATTTTCACGTCAAAATCGAGGCCCCATGATGATAACCTTGCTTGCATGTAACAATTCCTTACCGACTGCTCTCTCAACTTGTCATACAGGTGTTCCAAACGTTTGGCTGAATCGTCAAGTTTCCTTTTTGTTTGCTGAAATGGAAATATTTTTGGTCTTTTAATATTCCATTAAAACTTTTCCGTAAAGACAATACAAGCTTTATTCTAAATAGAGTTAATGTGGATGCTGCCACAGACGGTGTGCAAAACTTACTGGGTCCCCTGCTGCAAGCTGGCAGCGCTGCACCAGTCTGTCAAAGGTAGATTTGAGGATCATATGTTCAGC